TTTATAAAAGAATTGGTTAACTTAAAAATCGATTGACCGTATTTTACAACTCAAATCATTAATTTCTAATTAAAGGCTAATGGCCCTAAGAGGGTTAAAGCCCCCAACTCTTATCAGGTAACATCTAAAATGGACATGTAGTGCCCTGATAATTTGAATATTTTTGGTACTAACAATCGAGTTTGGATTCTTTGGATTCCGGGACATATTGGTTTTGAAGGAAACAAGAGTGCCGATGAACTTGCAATGAAAAGAGCAACAACCCCTTTCATCGGCACAGAGCCCTTCTGTTGCATAGAAAAGGGAGCACCCTCTACCCTGGCCCATTATGAATGCGCCAACAAGCAGCAGTAAGGGTGCAACTGGTAACATTTCCATGAACAAGTTGTCAACATGATGAAAGGCGGAAGTTAGCTCACAACTTTCCGCAACATTTTCTCGGCCTCGTCCGTGATAGCCGATCTCCGGGCGCCTTAGCAGTCGCATGACAAAAAATGTCTGTCTAAGAGCCGGATTCACCAGCAATTGAAGTGGGAAATATTTTTTTTTTTTAGTTTCTGTCAATATCCATATCAAATTCAAAAAAGTAAATTAATTTTTAATTTAAATTGCTTTCGTGAAATTGGCTGTAAATGAATCACATTTCACCATAAAACCATAGTTGAAACCAAATAGCGGTGAAACCCCCATACTGCAGTGCTCATAAGCACCACCATAGCCGCGCTAAAGCGTCCCATAGCAACGCTATCACCTAGCAACTGACCCAAGTGTAAAACAAAGTAGAATTTGAGTTGCCTTAATCATTTCACTTCGCACGATAAATAAAAAACAAACTTTTCGCTGACCGATTTGTTACGCTGCGACATAATCCCCAAAATGTATGAGAAGCAAGACACCGCGCAATCGGAAGAAAAACGTGAAACCATACAGGAAATAGCCATTAAATTAGCCGAGGAGCAGTTGCGTACTTTGCAGGTGGAGAGTGGACCAAAGGAGCGTACTATTTTTGTGCTGGGCAGCAAAGGCGCTGTAAGTAGAATTACCACACTAAAAAAAACACCGGCTTATATGCATTTGAAACCATATTCCCTTATCGGCACAGGGCAAATCCACTGCCGTGGCTAAATTCTTTGATCGCGACGACAATCCGCGTCCCACACTTGCGCTGGAGTATTCCTATGGACGACGCACGAGTGGCACGCAGAAGCAAGTATTGAACGTGTGGGAGCTTGGCGCTTTAGACAATGCCGAGCAATTGATTTCGGTGCCTTTGCGCATGCATGGACTGGAGCATTTTGCGGCCATAATAATGTTAGATCTATCGCAGCCGCAGCGTGTCTGGCCTGATTTGGAACACATTTATCATGCCTTACGTGCGGCAAGCAATAAACTTTTGAATGCCGAGCAAGAGCAAACATATCGTGAACGCATGGCGGAGCGCATTAAGCGGAATGTGAGTGATGTGGAAAGCCTCGAACTGATGCCCTACCCAGTGGTCATAGTTGGTGGCAAATATGATTTGTTCAAAGATTTCGGTTTGTTTCTAATGCGCAAGTTTTGAGTAAACTTTATTCACTCGTTACGTTTTTTTTTTGTAACTCTTGTAGAACCCGCGGTGAAGCAACACCTTTGCCATTGCCTGCGTTCTATGGCGCATCTAATAGGCGGTAGTGTGCTTTTCTATTCTGCCAAAGTGCCTAAGCTAGCTAAAATACTACGCGACACAATGAGCCACTTGGGCTTTGGCAGTCCTTCGCATCCTTTTCGCGCTCATGTCACGGACTTCAATGATGCCCTCTCCATTTGGTTTGGCACCGATAGCTGGGATCAGATTGGCAGCGCTGGTGTATTGAGCGTGGAACGCATTGGTTCACTACTGGCTGCTGAGATGCCACAGCTTAATGAAGCTGGTGGTAAAAAACGGAAAACGAAAACACAAATCAACGATCCAGCAAAGGATCCAGGCTTTCGTGAGAGCATCATCGATGATATGCGCGCTCAGAAAGACAAGGAGTTGCAGGCGCTTATTAAGGAGTCGCAATTACGTGGACAATTTGAGACGATTGTTTAAGTTTGCTATGGTAAGGGAGATGAGGAAATAGAGAGGATTAGCATAAAAACATGTAGGCACCTTTGAGAATAAATTAAAAGAGAACTAAAACCAAAAATTCAATGATTGTAATTTTGTAAAGCCTTGCACTTATTAAATAAAAAATTTATTTGAGCCCTCATTGGTGACTTCACAAAACTCTCGGAAATCTTGGTTGGATATAGAGAGTAGTGATTGCAGAAGTAACCACCACGTGGCCCCCCTTACCGCCACTAGGCGTCTCCTTATGTCAGTGGACCAACATCTCCATGGAAGGGAGCACAACCATGCTTCTTCTTTCGAAACACTTCCGGCGGGTCTGCCACAAAACAAAACAATCCAACCATAACTTAATCGACGGAGCCAGCCCCTCGCCCCACGTAAGAAAACACACTAAGTACACAGCAAGAAGACAGCGCCTAGCTACGTGTAAACTATTTGTCAGGTATGAACTGCTTACACCGCGAAGCAGTCGCATCCATAACCACCAATGACCCGTCGCGCAAGCTTTGTGTTAGAAGGTCGTCCTCTACCTTTACATGAAATCATACTTCCACACAACTTAAGAGTCACGCTGGCCCACCCCCAATCTAGCTAGAATGCCCGGGGCAACATATAAAATGCTAGCTCTTCCAGTGCGTTGCATATTTTACCTATTTGACACCGAGGGCTTCGGTCTAAACCAAGGAAAACCACGCGCGGTTCTTAGGACATTAGGACTGAATACAATCGATGGCGGTCTACTGCGCAGATATTTAGCAGACGATTAGATGTTTCCTGCAGGCTGAAGCCCTCAATGAAAGTGTCACACTTGACCGCGTCGTCAAAGATCCTGTACAGTTCGAGTGTCACAAGGATTGGGTGGGCGCAGGTCTTGCATCTGTTTGTTATTCTTGCAGACTTGCATTGTCGGGGCAGTCTATCAATCGTTGTCGACAAACCCAACTAAGTGTAGACAGCTAAAGTTTTACGTCTGTCATGGGTGATGGTTGAGCTTCGTTGATGAATGCCACAATTGAGGCCACGCTGTACAGGTTGTGCTCAGGCGCCTTCAAAAGGCAACCCATTGCTGTTCAGGCGCAGCATTAAGAAGCTTAGTATATTGCGTCCTACCAGTCCCCGACGATGAAACAGCCATACTGTAATTTTGCAACCGGCCGGTTGTTGTTGCCGTTCGTGTAGTGGCTTATTTAGCCCAGGAAGGGTGCCACACTGACTAGGTTAAGCCAGTGGGAGATGGGCGTTAGTTGAGTGGGATGTTGTGCGCGTGCGAAGAGGAGTATCGAGTTTTGGGGTGAATCTCCGCATGCCGGACACATCTGCGTCTATTCTGCTTAGGTACTACTGCAGTATTCAGAGCGAAGTTGTGCAAGTGTTGTGCGGATTTTCCGAGACAGACCACTTCGGATATTGTGCTGCTAAAACCGCATTCACGGGTCGCGAATTGATGTAGGTTGAGACAGACTCCCTGTAAATGCTGTTAATGACCTGTTTGTACGCTGTCGGGTTTGGACCTAGTACGTCAGTTCATATAGATGCCTTCTGGCGTGCCTTGGCTAGGGCTCTAACACAACCAGATGTCTGTTCGAGCGCCCACATATATGCCACCTTTCTAAGAACTGCTTGCACAGCATGGCGTTGTGCTCCCTGAGTGGCCGGCCAATTGCCTTGCTTGTTGCTCACTACATTTCTCAGTCCTTTTCCTAAGTGCTGCCGAAGTGAGCGAATTTAGGTCTTCCTGTGTTAAAGTGAAATAGAGGCTGCGTAGCTGGAGGAGAGCAAGATGTTAAAGGTAACTCCTAAAGTGTTCGCAAAATTAAAAGTCGATATTGGCTTTCCGTCAAAGTTTCGATGGCTAATTGCAGCTGGACCTCCGTCGTAGAATATACTGAGACGACGGGATGTGGAAGTGAAACAGGAAAGGGAAAAGGCAACCCTGCTGTTATTGTAGCGGCTAATCAGCCTTGCCTAGATCGAATTGTTCCTCGTTGTCGTCAAGTTCAACTCGAACCGGGTTAGTCCATAGGGACAGGAGTGTTAGTTGAGTGGGGTTTAGGGGTCACCGTCCTGTGGGATGCCTAGTTTGATTTTACTAGGCTTCGATGTTTGATCTACAAAAATTCGCCGTCCACCGCTTTATTTCCAATTGGGGAGTGGATACTTCAGTATCCTCTATTAACTTGGAATACGAACAGTTTGCAAGGCATTTGGCAAGTTCAAAGTTCCAAAGTTGGTCTTTGCAGTTTTTTTTTTTAAATCTTTTATTTATACATACAAATGTTCAATCATTTCATTAGGCAGAATTTTACTAGTTCGTATTTTTTGTCTTAACACAAATCAATTTTGTTTTGTCTTTTGCACAAATCAATTAATACATACATATTTGTAATAATACATACATATGCGAGCGTTCGTTAATTTTTCGAGCTGTCTTTTTTATTATATAATTTTTTAGAATCGGGAGCCTAAGTACAAGGGGAGAATTTCTTTTTTTTTATTGGTTTATTTTTTAATGACACGCTTTCCGCTTTACAAATAACATTTCTTAGTATTTTTTTGTTATAGTTATATTATTATTCTTTCTATTTATAGGCATAGCATGTACTTATATATCGCATCTTAATTTATTATTTTTTCTTTTTGATTATTTCAGCTACTCCTTAACCTTCAGTAAAAAGCTGCCTTTTACTTGCAGTTGTGCCTCACCAACATCCGCATACACATACTGCTACAAAAATATATATTTCTTTGCTTAACGTCGCACGTCGCGAAATAACGTGAAGTGTATATGTACGTTTTAATGCATTGCTGCACCCCTGAGGGGAATTGGCAATGTTAGTTCAACAAACATGAGCTTGCATTAATTGAAAACAAATATATATAGAGGTAAGTAAAATTAATAATAAAACAATTTTCTTAAAGCATAATAACAAAAAAGGAATCATCAATATGGTGAATCAATGCGTAGAACATTTGCATAACAATAGTTGAATAGTTGAAATCGATTCACCACGGCCCCGCGTCATAACGTTATACTTTTAAAACGTCCATATGCTCTCCAGTATGTCGTCGCTCAATTCCGGTGGGGGTAATGCTTTCAACGTACGCAACGTTTCCATATAAAACGTCAGCTCTGACGTCACCACACCATGTTGCGGCCCACCATTGTTAATAATATTCAGCTTCAAGACTTGTTCTCTCAGCTTGTCCTTAAAATTGCGATGCACTATGCCATAGATAATGTGTATTTGCTGTTCAGGCAGTATGGGCGCAATCGCTTCGTGCAGCTTCACCAAATGTCGAGAAATGTTACGAAATGATTGCGATGGTATGGGCGGACGCGCATCCCATTGCTCGAGCTGCATCGATACCCGCTCTGTAACAATACTATAAATTTTATTTTCAATTTCTTTTATATGGCTATGATAATCCTTCTCAATCGAATCAAAGCCAGACACTGAATTCGCGTCGTATGACGCGAAATGTGCCCTGATTTTAGGCAATAACCAAAGCACAAGTTGTAGAGCACGTGAGACCAATGCTAAATTGGTGCTTGTAATGGTTTTCAAGCCCGCCACACGCATTGCGCCTGCGCCAATAACCAGCTGGCAGGAGCGCGAATTGAATGTGCGCAACAGGTCGACAATGTTGCGTGACAAGTAGCCGGCAATGATGGGCAACCGCGCGGCACAGTGGCAGTAGTCGCTTAGCATTTGCACAAGCAACAATGCTGCACTAACCAGACTAAATGGCTTGCCTTCGATGAGCAAAACTGGATTGGCCTGCGACTTAATACTGTTGCTGTTGTTGCTACTGCTGCTGCTGTTGGTAGTGCTATGGCCATTCAATGTTGCGCCTAAGCTTTCGGCGAAGGATTTACTAGCCGGCTGTTGGAAATCTCGCATGCCCATGCGGTCTATTATTTTTTGGAATTCATTTGGTATATCTACTTGCCGCCAACGCTCCGAGTCGAGCAGTAGCGCCAATTTTTGCTTGCGTTCAGTGTGAAAACGATTGGCAAAGCGGGAAGCTTGCACTTTGGCAGCAACCTGCAAGTTTTATGTAAGAAATATATTTTGAAATCTTTAAACGCATTTTCACCTACCTTCAATGGTACGCTAGGTGCGCCACAAATTTCTTCACAACCTGCACTAAATTCATCTACAACCGCCGTCAATTGCCCCACCTCATCCACGGTAGCTACTGCACGTTCCAAGCTCTGCGTTGACACCAGATTCGCGCAACGCTCGTGACAATAATTACACACTGTCACCAGTAACTCTTCCAGTCGCTCCGTCACTTGTGTATGGTCAGCAGCGGTTAGAAATGCTTCAGAATCTATAAGATTTACAGCTGAATCTTGCGCGACGCCTTCAACGCCACCACAACGTCCAGCAGCAGCGTCTGTTGTCTGTCGCATTATGCCGGTAACTGCGCGTATGCGTTGTAAAATTGTCAACAATGCTACTGTGGCTTTTTTCAACAGCGCTATCCACTCGCTGATGGAGAGACTTTGCGCCTCTTCGCCGGCGCCTGTAAGGCAAAGCTCTGCATCGCTGGAGGCAATAACTTCGATAACAAGTTGCTTGATGATGGCACGTATGGTTACAATTGCTTCGTCCTTATAGGCTGTTACGAATGAGAAGTTCTTTTTCCTCAAAAGTCCCATAACGATACACACCAATTTGTCTTCTTCCGAGCACACACTTTCCGTTTCATTGAGCACGTCACTTA